TGATTTGTGGTGGGCGAGTTCATGTGAGCTGATTTGTGGTGGGCGAGTTCATGTGAGCTGATTTGTGTTGGGCAAGTTCTTGTGAGCTGATTTGTGGTGAGGGTCAGCGAGTTGGGCGAATGTGAGCTGATTTGTGGTGGGCGAGTTCATGTGAGCTGATTTGTGGTGGGCGAGTTCATGTGAGCTGATTTGTGGTGGGCGAGTTCATGTGAGCTGATTTGTGTTGGGCAAGTTCTTGTGAGCTGATTTTTGGTGGGCGAGTTCATGTGAGCTGATTTGTGTTGGGCAAGTTCTTGTGAGCTGATTTGTGGTGGGTGAGTTAATGTCAGCTGGTTTGTGGTGGGCGAGTTCATGTGAGCTGATTTGTGGTGGGCGAGTTCATGTGAGCTGATTTGTGGTGGGCAAGTTCTTGTGAGCTGATTTGTGGTGGGTGAGTTAATGTGAGCTGATTTGTGGTGGGCGAGTTCATGTGAGCTGATTTGTGGTGGGCGAGTTCATGTGAGCTGATTTGTGGTGGGCGAGTTCATGTGAGCTGATTTGTGGTGGGCAAGTTCTTGTGAGCTGATATGTGTTGGGCAAGTTCTTGTGAGCTGATTTGTGGTGGGCGAGTTAATGTCAGCTGGTTTGTGGTGGGCGAGTTCATGTGAGCTGATTTGTGGTGGGCGAGTTCATGTGAGCTGATTTGTGGTGGGCGAGTTCATGTGAGCTGATTTGTGGTGGGCGAGTTCTTGTGAGCTGATTTGTGGTGGGCGAGTTCATGTGAGCTGATTTGTGTTGGGCGAGTTCTTGTGAGCTGATTTGTGGTGGGCGAGTTCATGTGAGCTGATTTTGATTGTGTGGGCGAGTTCATGTGAGCTGATTTGTGATTTGTGGGCGAGTTCATGTGAGCTGATTTGTGGTGGGCGAGTTCATGTGAGCTGATTTGTGTTGGGCGAGTTCATGTGAGCTGATTTGTGTTGGGCGAGTTCATGTGAGCTGATTTGTGTTGGGCGAGTTCATGTGAGCTGATTTGTGTTGGGCGAGTTCTTGTGAGCTGATTTGTGTTGGGCGAGTTCTTGTGAGCTGATTTGTGGTGGGCTAGTTCATGTGAGCTGGGATTTGTGAGCTGTGTGGTGGCTGAGCTGAGTTTCATGTGAGCTGATTTGTGTTGGGCGAGTTCATGTGAGCTGATTTGTGTTGGGCGAGTTCATGTGAGCTGATTTGTGATGGGCTAGTTCATGTGAGCTGATTTGTGGTGGGCTAGTTCATGTGAGCTGATTTGTGATGGGCTAGTTCATGTGAGCTGATTTGTGGTGGGCTAGTTCATGTGAGCTGATTTGTGGTGGGCGAGTTAATGGGTTTGTGGTGGGCGAGTTAATGTGAGCTGGTTTGTGGTGGGCCTGTTCATGTGAGCTAATTTGTGGTGGGCGATTTCATGTGAGCTGGTTTGTGGTGGGCGAGTTAATGTGAGCTGATTTGTGGTGGGCGAGTTAATGTGAGCTGATTTGTATTGGGCCAGTTCATGTGAGCTGATTTGTGGTGGGCGAGTTCATGTGAGCTGGTTTGTGGTGGGCGAGTTCATATGAGCTGGTTTGTGGTGGGCGATTTTATGTGAGCTGATTTGTGGTGGGCGATTTTATGTGAGCTGATTTGGCGTGGGCGAGTTCACGTGAGCTGGTTTGTGGTGGGCGTAGTGAGATTGGACGCCAATGTGCATTGTTGCGCTCGGTAAAAAAAACTGCCTTGGCAGTTGGAAATCGAAAAGAGTAGCCTTGAGGCGCTGCCCGGGTAAAATTTAGAGTTTAAAATCTGCTCAAAGTATTTCAGAATCTTAGCCGGTGCATCGGAGTTCCTGCACTGCGCTGAGATTCTTCAGACTCAGACTTGTGTTAGAAGCAGAACGAAGTATTTATGGGTTACACCAGTTTGCTAGGATGTTGATCCGTTGAATACACGATAAACTAAAGAGCATGTCGTGCGCGGTGACTAGTTAATGAAGTTTCCTTGAAAGATGAAGTTCGTCTGCTTGAGAGACCAGGGGCCAATCAAAGGTCTGCATCAGAGAAGCCAGATCTGTAAAACGTAGATGCACTCAAAACTCAAGTTCTGGAACACAGTTTGAACGACTACATGTTTACATTTTTGGCGTTTGTCATATGCTATGATGCATTTTTAAATTTGATGCGGGGATGAGGGGATCTCAGCCTCATCCTATACATGTATGGAATCAAGACCATTTTCAATATTGAAGACGGCTTTGTTGAAATAGTTATTCGCCCTGTAGGATAATGTATGTTTTATGGTACAGAGTACCATGCAAGCAAATCAAGCATAGCAAAGCTCTCAGGGCTAAAAGTAGGCTAAAAGTATTATTAGTTCGATGTGATATGTATAACAAGGTTATTCAGTCCAGAATTGCAACCCTGCATGTTAGTGTTCAACTTAAAAGATTCCTCCACAAATTTACTAATGCTATGAAAGCTCCTCTTGCCCTTTGTGTTCGATTTTTAATAGCTCTTTAATGCCGTCTCCACAATGATGGTTGGCTGCAATGAATCTCCAACACCTTCTATATTGATGGGTCCACTCGCTCAGAGGATGTAATTATTTACACAGACTGTTCAGTGTCAAGACGCAAAAGAAGTGCTTAGGGTTTCTTAGCAAAAGTAAATAGTCGATGTTTGGTACAGGAGAGCCTAGCAAATGATACCACAACATCCAGCTTAAGAATGGAGGTGGAGGCCGTCACTGCAGCATTTCGGTGGTTAGAGAACACAACACACACACACACACACACACACACACACACACACACACACACACACACATCGTGATTGTAACTGACTCAGAAAGCATTCTGAGGAAGGTCAGAACAGGCATGCTTCGTGCAGAGTGGCATGCTTCACTGCGGAGGACACGGGTGAGGAGTATTGTCTGGATTTTTTCTCCGGGCAACGTCGGTGTGTTGGGAAATGAACAGGCAGACAGACTGGCTGGCTCTGCCTAGCTTGGTGAAATACTGATGCACGATAAGGAGTTTGTGCCTTGTGGGAGAGCGTGTACAGTTCGGAGGAGCAGATGGATCACCACAGGCTGGTGAGATTGTTGCAGTGGAAAGTGACGAGGGGTTCTGTTGGATGCTCGAAGCTCAGAGGGAAGGCAAGACGGACTTTTAATCGTCTGGGTTTTTCCCATTTAGCCTCTAGACACAAAAGGCCAGGTACTCACCAGTGTTTAATACGGTAGCACTGAAAAAAAATGTGATGCCTATAGGCCTTAAGAGGTGCAGGTACTTCGAACCGTTGCGCACCGCCAAAAAAACCTCCAGTTCGTCCATCTTTTGATGTTATCCTTCCAATTGTATCAATGTATGTCTCTGTCTAGATTACCTTTAACTTTATCCTTCAGTGGGTGTTAATAAACAAAAAAAAAAACATTAAGTCCTCTGTGCAGACCACTTTTTCGGAATCCGGACGCTAGAGCGCCACAGCGTTACGGGAAGTATAGGTATAACATCCTATTGCGATGGCCATTGTGATAAGAAAGACCAGCTTGCGTTAAAAAGAACTTAGCGTCTTCTGTTTTGCAAAAGTGAAACAGAAGTTACGAATGGAACAGAAGTAGTCATAAATACTTTCAACATAGTTAAATATTATGTTTTTTCTTCGCGTTCACCGGCTGTAAACTGCAACGGAAAGTTCTGGTTGTTCGCCAACTTCTGGACTTTAGTCTTGTTTCAGAATTTGAGTGTTGTGTGCACATCCGTTTTACACATTTGGTTTATTTGAATGCGGGCTTTAGGTTCTTTGCCTCTCAGAGGTTCCTCGAAGGATGTCCCTACGTCATGCTTGTTAGGTAGGCAGTGGGTCTACTTTTGTTTAACTCACAATGGGTCCCGGAGCCCACAAGGGGACACATATCAGATTTGTACAATAACAAACAATTAGAGGATCACACTGAGTCCTTTGATACATGAATAATTTGTCACAATTCATAGAAACAAACACGAACAGCAGTTTTGAAGAGGCTAGTAATAAAAAGAAAGTTGCTAAAAGAAATAACAAAAAAATATTGTGGCTATATTACAAAACATATCGCTGTTATAAAAACCAAACAGAAAAGAAAAGCTGAAGGCAAGCGGCAGACACTGATACAACTGGGTAGGTAACATTCAGAAATGGACACACGGCAGTCGGAGAGTACATCCAGGAAAAAGACGGTGCATTTTGGAGATCCACTAGTCAACCGTTATCGAGGAGACGGAATCTGACTAGTTGACAACAGAAGACTTTTTTTTTAACGCAGGCGGGTCTTGCTTGAAACACTCGCAATCGCCATAGGCTGTGAGTCCCATACCTCCTCATAGAACAATCTAACACTATCGTCTAGAAATACGGACAGGTGCCAACAATTCCCTGTGTCGCAACTTTCATTGTGATATATACGGTTGAACAGGGTTTCTGTGATTTGTAGCTGTCTGCTTCTGATTATTGAGATGTTAATAATAATTATTATACAAAATTAAAAAAATTAAAAAAAAAAAATCATACTGGAACTTCGGTGCGATGTAGTTTCATCTACATTCTCACTTATCTTTAAACTTAAAGTTGACCACCGGAATCCCAACAGATGAGACGAAGAATCAGACCACAGAGTAATAGCCAACCAAACGCTTTAGTTTAATTCATGGGCGAATCATTTGGGGATTCCCTGAGGTCACATCTGGGTGGAGTCATATTGCCAGCTTGTTATTTTACTGCTTAACCAATAACACAAAATACGATTACACGGTTTAGATCTAATATAAAATATGCATATGTGAAATTTTTTAAAACTATTATTAAATAAAAAAAGATTTTTAATGTTATACATTAGTGTAATTCATAGTATATTTTTAAAAGAATAAAGAAATAATTTCAGCTTTAGAATTGTTATTGCCACTGGTCGGTACCGGCACCCTCACGTCTGCCTGCTTGTCTGTGGAATTCTGTAGACAGTAGCTTCAAGTTTTTATTTTAAAAATGGAGAATATATCACTCCCAGTGCTTTCCTCGGAGAATGTCCTGGATTATTTTCCGGCAAATCCTATCAAAGAACCGTTTGCCGATGCCTGGAACTATATGACAAACAACTACACCAAATTTCAAATTGCTACTTGGGGTTCCCTTATAGTTCATGAGGTAAGTGATAATTAGAAGTAGAAAAACAAAGTTCTGCCAGTCTGGTTTCATTAGGTTAGGATCAGAGTGACTGTAACTGATCTTTTACTGTCTCCCCATCTTCTTATCTTCCCCCTCACATTACGTTACGTTTCCTTCCTTTTCATTAAAGGTTGGGGGATGAAGATAGTACAGCCGCCTAGCCTAATTTTATATAAGTATAATATATATATAAATAGTACATGTTATATAATATATATATATATATCATCATCATCAGGTGCCCTACGGACTGGCGTGGGCGATCATGCCTCTCCATAATCTGCGATCTCCTGCAGCATGTATCAGTTCGTGTGCCGACACACCTCCATGCCATGCAACAAGACTGTCAAGCATCTTCTCTCGTTGTCTTCCTTTATCTCTTCTTCCACAGATCTTTCCAGTGGTCACAACGTTCTATTTTCCCTCTTCTCATAACATAACATGGCCGAAAAATGATGACTGTCTCCTTCTGATGTCTGTGATAAGTTGTCTTCGGGCTCCCGCCTCTTTCGAAACCTCTTGGTTGCTCTTTTTGGCTGTCCAAGGTATTCTAAGCATTCTTCTGTAAAACTACATCTCCGAGGCCTCCAGAAATTGTTTGGCCTGCCTACCGATTGTCCAGGATTCACAGCCATATGTTAAAACTGGATGTATGTAGCAAGCAAGAATTCTTTTTCTAACTCTCAATGACAAGGATATATTGCACAAGATGTTTTTCATTTTATAAAATGCAGTTTTTGCCTGTCCTATCTATTCCATTTTTTATCTCAGTTATGCATCTTCCATCTGATGTTATCCATGTGCCCTGATACTTAAATTTCTGTACTTGTCCTAAAATAACACCATCAACTTTTATTACACACTTAGGAATAATTCGTTTCTTTGATACCACCATTACTTCTGTCTTCCCATATTATTCAAACTGAGGCCCATTCTTCCATTCTAACACCACAATGTCTATCATTTCCTGTAGTTCTTTCTGACTTGTTGCTATCAAGACTGTGTCATCAGCATAACGTAAATTGTTTATATTGTGCCCACCAACCACAATTCCGGGCATACCCATTTAAGCTCTCATGATATATTCACTGTATATTGAAAACAAATCAGGTGACAGTACACATCCTTGTCGTACGCACCTCTTTATGCTTTGAAATGTACCTAAACAGTTGTTAGTTCTTATAGCTGCTGTTTGTTGCCAATACATATTCTTTATTATTCGTAGATCTTTCCCATCAATGTTTAATTTTTCTAACAGTTTGATTACTTCTTCATGCTTCACACAGTCAAATGCTTTTGTATAGTCTATGAAGCATATGTACAAATCAGTCTTTACTTCTATAGCTCTTTCTGACAATGTCCTTAGGATGTATAAGGATAAGGCATTGTTTGTACCATTTCCTTCTACAAATCTACATTGTTCATCGCTGATTTCTGGTTTAATTTTGTTTCTTATTCTTCTCATAATTATTCTCAGTAAAATCTTAGTCATGTGACTCATAAGACTTATTGTGCGATGGTCTTCACATTTTATAGTGCCTGGTTTCTTGGGCAGAGCTATAAATATGGATTTTAAAAGGTCATTTGGAATATACCCACTATTAAAAATATCATTTAAAAGTTTAGTTATTATTTCAATTCCAAAATCTCCAAGTGCTTCGATTTCTTCCAGTGAGATGTTGTCTGGCCCGGTTGCTTTTCCTTTCTTCATATGATGTATTGCATCCTCAACCTCTGCAGTCATTATTGGTGGACCATCATTGTTGGTCTGCAGTTCTACATCTGGTCTATTATCATCATAAAATTCCCATATATACTCTGTCCATCTGTTAATTATATTACTTTGACCCATTAATAAGTCACCATCTTTTGATTTCAAACATCCAGTGCTGTTACGTGTCATCTTTCCTGTTAACATATTTATCTTTTGGTACATGGAATGTGAGTCTTTCCTGTTGTTTCCCCCAATCTATATGTCGAACACAGAAAAAGAAGAAATATATATACATCAGAAAGTCGGGAAACTCAGTCTTACCACCCTCTAAAATGTTGGACTGTCCTGTACATCAACTGGGGTAAGATATAAATAAGGAACCGAAACCCTTCTGTAGTTATCTTTTACCACATGCTTGTGAAGAGTTCAGTGAGTCTGTTTCCCCCCTCCCCCAAATGGGGCCCCTGAAACCCACACATGCAGGGGAGCCAGTTCCCTTGCTCATCTCTCCTTCAAAGATGGTTCTAATAAATAATTGTGTGGTGCCTATTTTATCGGGTTAGGTAAACCAGCCTTTTGTTTGTAATGTAGGATTTATGTTGCTTTTATTTCTTGATAAATACTTTGGTAAAAATATTTGATTGTATTTGTGCACATCTTTCCTTTCCCTTTGGTGAGCTTCCCAATAATATTGTATGTGATTGATCATTAAGTTTATTGTCACATTTCCCAAAATAAACGTATATTCTGACCTTAAGGACATTAATTATTCTTCTACTTCACACCCTTTTATCTTCGTACTTATCTCCTGCTTCAGCCATTTATACAGACCATAAACCAGCTCTATGTTAATCTGAATTGTTTTATTTGGGAAGGTCAACCCAGAATACAAATGCCTGAAGTAGTCTGCTAAAAGGTGAGAAAATCGACTGCTTAAACAGGAACAACATTTGAACGGACTATGAAAAATTAGATGAATTAATCCCCTGTGTGGGTTCCGGGGTACCATTTTTGGGAAAACAAGAATAGACTAACTGCCTGCCCAAAAGCATGTTGTTCAGAGAACATCTGCCTGAGAGGCTAGGAACCAACAGGCTGCATGCAAATGAGTCAGACCTGTGAAACAGATATGCACGCAACACAGTTTCTAGAACAGTATTAGAGTCCAGAAAGAGACGAACAACCAGAACTTTCCACCGGAGTTTAAAGCCGGTGAACGCAAAGAAGCAGATCAATTAGTGTACAAAATGTTTATTTATTTACAATCTGATTCTGAAATTTAGATAAATGCCCTTTTGTGGCAGGAATGTATGTCATGATTAACTTATTTTTAATTTATTTCTTTTTCAGCTTGTATATTTTATGGCCTGCTTGCCAGGCATCACCTTTCAGTTTTTGCCTTTCATGCAGCGGTTCAAAATACAGGCAGTAAGTAAACAATAACAGCCTAATGTTGCTGTCTTCACACCTCTGTCTGCTTTTTTCCTCAAGATGTTGAAGAAATATGAAATCATGAGGTCTTGGGTTTGTAAAATTATTTTGGTCCCTAACACTTATAACTGTTTTGAGTAGTTCTTTTCCCATGTGAGTTGCAGGACCGCATTGGGGGGGGGGGGGGTGTAATAGACCCATTGCTCCCAATCTTAACATGTATGTCGTAAAAGTAAACTAATTAGGAGTATTTCCTTGAAAGTTAGAGTGCATCTGCCTGAAAGGCAGGGAACCAGCAGTCTGCTTACAAATTAGCCAGATTTGTAAACAGATATGCACACAAAACTCAAGTTCTGGATCAAGACCAAAGTCCATGAGTGGACGAACAACCAGGACTTTTTCCCCAGCGTTTACAGCCAGAGAATAAGAAGTTATTTGATATAATTGCCCTGTGGTACCGAAAGAGTTAAGACATTGTGCCACTCAGAACTTTGTATACATGCTGGAGCTACATGGTAAAGGCATTGGGCTGCCAAAGGTAGTCACCTCAGCAGCAATATTGGTGTAAACAGTGCCAAAGATATTGTTGAACAGTGAAAGGGTGTTGAAATCTATACAACAGAAAATGAGTAGTTCATTTTAATCTGCTTTTTATACCTCAATGAAGCATAGGCTGTCAGCCAACCCACAGAAGGCACTTTCTTTATACTTGTTCTTGGTGTTTGGATTTTGCTCCTAAAGTTTTCTGTGAGATGGGATAACCAGTCCCATGCTAATCCTCCTTTGTGAACTCTTATGTCATGGATGGCCAGTTTATGTTATCTTTCTTTGCTTCCCTTGAGGGCCTTGATAACACACAAGTGTCTATTTGGATGTCAAGTAAAAAATGAAACCCACAGAACATTTTGAATATGTAAGAAAAATGAGAGGCTTGACAATAAGACACTGGCTAAAATAGTTATTTAATGGGTAAACTATTATTTTCCTATGCAGTTGTTGCTGTTTGGACATTGTGTTCTGAGTTGCCTTCTTTAGATGACAGGAGTTTGTGAACTTGAAATTAGAAAAGTAATTGTTAGCTTACATATTTTCTAACTTGAACTCAGTCATTAAACAGCATTAGTGTGGTATAGAAATAATAAATATGTGCAGAGATGGTAACCATTAAATGTGTGTGTATGAATGAGAGTTTGAGAGACAGAAATTGGCATGCATTTTAAGGGTAGGAGAGCTGTAAATTAGCATGCATTTTAAGGGTAGGAGAGCTGTAAATTAGCATACATTTTAAGGGTAGGAGAGTTGTAAATTAGTATGCATTTTAAGGGTAGGAGAGTTGTAAATTAGAATGCATTTTAAGGGTAGGAGAGTTGTAAATTAGAATGCATTTTAAGGGTAGGAGAGTTGTAAATTAGAATACATTTTAAGGGTAGGAGAGTTGTAAATTAGTATGCATTTTAAGGGTAGGAGAGTTGTAAATTAGTATACATTTTAAGGGTAGGAGAGTTGCAAATTAGAATGCATTTTAAGGGTAGGAGAGTTGTAAATTAGTATGCATTTTAAGGGTAGGAGAGTTGTAAATTAGAATACATTTTAAGGGTAGGAGAGTTGTAAATTAGTATGCATTTTAAGGGTAGGAGAGTTGTAAATTAGTATACATTTTAAGGGTAGGAGAGTTGTAAATTAGAATGCATTTTAAGGGTAGGAGAGTTGTAAATTAGTATGCATTTTAAGGGTAGGAGAGTTGTAAATTAGAATACATTTTAAGGGTAGGAGAGTTGTAAATTAGCATGCATTTTAAGGGTAGGAGAGCTGTAAATTAGTATGCATTTTAAGGGTAGGAGAGCTGTAAATTAGCATGCATTTTAAGGGTCGGAGAGTTGTAAATTAGTATACATTTTAAGGGTAGGAGAGTTGTAAATTAGAATGCATTTTAAGGGTAGGAGAGCTGTAAATTAGTATGCATTTTAAGGGTAGGAGAGCTGTAAATTAGTATGCATTTTAAGGGTAGGAGAGCTGTAAATTAGCATGCATTTTAAGGGTAGGAGAGCTGTAAATTAGCTGTATACAAGAAATTACATATCAACATTATAATTCATATGGAGCTTCTGTTTGTGAGACAGAAAGAGAAATGTAAGGTAGGAAAAGGAAAGAACAGCAGTTATCATTTGTGTTTTCATATATTATTGTGTTTAATGCATTCTAGAACAGACCAGAGACATTCAATGGTCAGTGGAAATGTTTCAAGCTTTTGATGTTCAACCATTTTTGTATACAGGTATGTCGACTTTATTCCTCTCATTTTTCTTATTCAAACTTTGGCTTCCCAGTAATTACCGAATTACTGTAATTAAAAATGTAGCAATATCCATTAAATCACTCGTCAGCTAGAAGGTGGGTCTGTATTTCAGTTGTGAAAGTAAAAGTATATTTTTTCATGTGTTTATTGAAAGAATTATTGAAGCAATAACAAAATTCATAATCTGTTTAAATCACCACTGATCACTGGCATTATGAGAGCTAATAGACTAAAACGGTTGGGGCATATTGAAAGAATGTGAGATGACAGAGAAGTAAAAACTATATACACAAGGGAGATGAATGGTCGTAGACCACGAGGCAGACCAAGAAGACGATGGAAAAACAATGTCCAGGCAGACCTGCAAACTATTGGTGTCACCAACTGGAAAGAAAAGGCCAACCAGAGAGATTAATGGAGGCGGGTGATATCTGCAGCAGTGAACCTCAAGGGCTCGTAATGCTGAAGAAGAAGATTAAGATTATTGAAAGAACTAACTGTTCACTCTGCATATAGGTTTACTGTAGTAATTTGTACAAGTATCCTAAGTTTTGTAGTTACTACCAATTCTTTCTTGACACACTAATCAGTTGATTCTCATCCTCGAGTTGTTAATCCTACAGAATGCAACCCTCTACATCTTAGTCTACATGTAGATAAAGATAGGGGATCTGATTGACATACTAAAATATGAATACAAAAGGCCAGAGGAGCTTTCATAGCACTAGGAAATTTGTAGAGTTCAGCAGAAATTAAACCTAATACTAAACTTAAAATTTTGTATTCTAGTGTCAAAGGTGTAAACAGATAAAACAACTGCTAACTAGCTACAGACTCATTAACTGATTGCTTCGCAGAATATAGTTATATGGTATGATAAAATCACTTATGTTGAGCTTTGAGAGATAAGTGAGCAAGTTCCAGTGGACCAAGAGGTGAAGAAAAGATGCTGGGCTGGATAGAGGACAAACACTGAGAAAACTTGAACGATCTAACCAGAATGCACTGAAACCCACAGGGGCATATAAATAAAGGCAGATCAGAAAAAACACGGAGAAGGGAACTAGAGAATTAAGTTAAAAAGATGCGGAGGACATGGAGTGAGCTACCTGCAATAGCAAAGGATTAAAGGATAGAATAACTTGGCGTGAATTGGGTGAGGGTCTATGTTCCATTTGGGGATAGAGGGCACAAGAAGAAGGTCATCCTGGTGTTGGGGGGGGGGGGGGGCACCTAATCAGTATTGTTCTTGAGAAAGAGCTTTGTTTCCTCTTTGCTGACTGATTTGTTTTTTTTTTCTTTCTTTCTTTTACTGACACTTGTTAATACCTAGTTGGATTGCTCAGGTAAGGGTTTCTACAGGACAGGGGTGTCGGCAACTAGTTCCATATGAGCTTTTCTCTCTTACCTCTTAGACATTCTTGATAAAGCTTACCTAAATTATATTTTGCTTTGTTTGTAGTTACCTCTGATTGCTGGAACATACGTATTTACAGAGTATTTCAACATACCGTATGGATGGGATGAGATGCCTGCTTGGTAAGTTCTGATGAAACCGTGTCTCATTGTTTAAAACAAGACACTAGCTCTCAACTACCATGCTCATTTGCTTGACAAATACAGCTGGCTTTCAATCTTCATGGGTTCCTTTGAAGTCAGCGTACATCTGCCTGAGAGGCAGGAAACAAGAACTGCACACAAATAATCCAGTAAAACGGATGTACACGCAAAACTCAGGTCCTGGTACAAAGCCAAAAGTCCAAATGGACGAACAACCTGGACTTTTGGCTGAAATTCACAGCCAGTGAACAAGAAGAAGAATAAGAATCTTCATGGGGGAATAATCTATCATCTGTAAGTTAAAATAATGTCAAATATCCTTCTTATGCCATAGCATATCAGGCATTTACTGCTAGTCCCAAATTTGTATAGGTCTGTGGGGTCTTGATATGTGATTCTTCTTCTTTGTGGTTTGCCTGAAAAAAGTTGTCTAAATCAGCAATTTTATTTATTATATAAACTTCACTTCATTTTTAATTCATTCATTGGTCAATAAAGTTTACTTTCCACTGTTATTTATTTTGACCATAAGGTTTGCCCTACCGTTTCATATTCAGTATAATCTTGGAGTATGTATTCTGCTGTCAGAGACGATGTTCCACATTTGCACGTGGCTAATACACTTTTCCTGTATTTCACATACATGTGGCTGCATGGTGTGTTGGGCCCTGTTCTAAGGCACAGGATAAAGACTTGTTCTGATCTGATCATAATAAAATAGTCATCTTGTGCTGGCGTTGGTGGCTTTCTGATTCATTTAATGCTCCTTTTCTTTTGGTGGTATGTGACTGCTACATTCAGATGCCCTTTTGTCGCACCTTTCCCTGCCAGTTGATCAGCTGTCTCATTTCCAGACACCCCATAATAGGATGTATTCACTGTATCATAATTGATAGGTGATGTATTCAATATCTTGGTTGTCACTTTTGCTTCCTGTAACATTTCCTGGTACTTGACTGTGAGACCAGGTCAGTGATAAAAGTCCACTTTGAAGCGGAGTCAAACCCAAGACCTTTAACCCAGTAGAAAAGCATTCCTGCACCCCAAGCGAGCTTCAGGTTACAACATAACTATCAGCTGTCTTAACATAACTGTGTTTGTGTGTCCTCTGACAGTTCTTCTTCAGTTCCTATTGCTTTCACTATAAGCTCCTGGTATCTAGCCTTAACTTCTGGTTGTCTAAGCTTGTACGCCTTAATCCTCACCCCTTCTCTGTTGCTTGGTTTCTTGCATGGTTGTCGGTGTTGCCTTGTTGGAGCAGTTCTTTCAGTCATTCTCCTTATTGTGACCAGATAGTGGTCACTTCCAGTCTCTGGTCCTCTCATGACTCTGGCATCTCTCACAAACTTGACAGAACTTTTCCTTGCTTTGGTGTAGTCGATGATAGATTTCTCATCCTTTAAAGGTTCACATCTGGTGTATGCATGTATACATTTGTGGAGGAATTTTGTGTTTGTAATGACACAGTTCAGTTCCATGTAGGATCTGTGAAGTCGCTTGCCATTGTCATTCAGAACATCTTCACCATATCTCCCGATCACTCCACCCAATCTAGAGTGGTCATTTCCTTCTCTGGCATTTAGATCTCTGAGGAGAATAATTTCATCAGGACAATCATGTATGTTCTTTTGGAGCAGTTCAAAGAAATCTTTGACATCTACTCGCTCATCTTTATTTGGTCGGTACACAATGACAGAATTGATAATTTCATCTTCTTCTTTCAGATCTGGCACCATCATTCGCTCTGAGATGAATTTCCATCTCTGGATGTTACTAGCTTGATTTCTAGGTACAATACAGCCAACACCTCTTTTAGCTCATTCCGTCACAGGGACACCACTGTAGAGCAGCATACTGCCATCGTGATCTGTGATTCCCTGCCCCTTTTTCTTGGTTTCAGTCAGAGCCGAGATTCCTAATTTTGCTCTTTTTTTTATATCTATCCCGTTGCCTCGCATGTTGAGTGTTCTGTAAATCATAGTCCGTAAGCAATGCCAGTTTGAAACACCAGATTATGGTATTCATTAATTATCGTGTTTCTTGTCGTGATGAATTGGTATGTGCAATTCTGCATATTTCAGGTACAACTTAGCACTGAGGGTGTTTGGCTGTGCCGTCATTGAAGACACCTGGCACTATTTCATGCATGCCGCCCTACATGATCGGAGAATTTACAAACACATCCACAAAGTACATCACCACTTCCAGGTAAGTTTAAACATGTTGACAAGGGTTGTGGATAGTGTAGAATCCTACCAGTCCAGTTGACTGAGTTCAATTCCCAGTAATGGCACAGTGGCATTTTATTCATGACCATTATGACTCAGAGGCTGACCCTGTACGGGGGTACTAAATTTGTGGAATAGTAAAGACCAACATGATACTGAACAATCAAGAATTCTTAGACGTCAGACAGGATGCTATGCTCTAGAAGCACATCTACACAGAAGAGGCTTAGCAGAATCTGTCAGTGTGGCTGCAAAGTAGACAGACTCCTGAACATGTGCTGCAGGATTGCCCTATCTACGGCTGTTAGAGGTTGGGGATCTGGCCAAAGGGAGCTAGCTACATTGAAAGACAAGTTGTGAAGGGACTAGCTGTGACCTTAGACACACCGTCATGTTTATGACCTTCAGTGGTTAGCATAGCTGATTTCAAATGCCATTTCTGGGAATTGGATGTGCACACAAAAACCAGGTTCTGGATCAAGACCAAAGTCCAGGAGTGATCGAACAACCAGAGCTTTCCATTGAAGTTTACAGCCAGTGAACGCTAAGGAAAAGAAAAGATTATATTTCATTTAAAATCCTTTATGAATTGGTCAGATGACATGCTGAACACCTTTCTCTTGATTTCTGTTTGCAGTCACCATTTGGGATGACAGCCGAGTATGCTCACCCAGCTGAGACTCTCAGTAAGTCGTGTGTTTTTTTCTTCAACTGGGGATTGGTTAATTGTGAATGTACTGGAGGACTATGTATAAACTTGTATGATGTTCAGATAATATAAACTCCAGCAAGGCTTGCATCTTGTACTTCTTCTTCCCGGTGTAGATTACACCGCCTTAAAAAGTGGTAGAACAGTAGTGACAGTTACAGAAAAGACAATAGAGAGCATGGGTCTGTTCCGCACACATTCTCCCCCCTTTCCTTTCCGAGAAGGAGAAGGGGATGGAGCCCGCACTGGAAAGGCTTGCACCTGGTAGAGACTTGTTCCGCCTACTGGAAATTGTTGCAGAGCATTCCTTACCCTTTCCAAATTAAAAGACCAGGGACGTATGCAGTATTGGTGCTGGAACTGAACATTACTAAAGAGGCATATTGAATTATAACTAAGTTATGATTTGGCACAGAACAAGTTGCTGCTGGGATTTATTCTTTCAGTCCAAGATAGTGTTGAATTCAGCAGTGTCTGAGCTAAAGTTTGTTTATCCTACAGCAGACACCTCATTTCCATGGTTACTACTTTTCTTTTATGTTTTGCTGTGAGTGACCACGTCTGTCACTGGTAGGATAAGGTGGGAATTAATATGCTTTGCATGAGATGTCTCTTTGTGTTGATTGGGAGTGCCAGACATTAATTAACTTGAGATAAATTTTATATTTTGTACATTATTTTTCAGTACTTGGAATGGGATTCTTCTGGGGGATCCTACTCCTGGCCAACCATGTGGTTCTCCTGTGGGCATGGGTCATAGTCCGACTCTTTGAAACCATTGATGTTCATAGCGGATATTATCTCCCTTATCTGAATGTATTTCATCTGTTTCCCTTTTATGCAGGTGAGTCATTGAAGTTGTCTGTATTAGTTTATCTTTCTTCGTGTGGGTTCCGGGGCCCTATTGTGGGGAAAAGAAGAACGAACCCACTTCCTACCTAAAAGAATGTCATAAGAGTCACTAATTCGAAGCTTCCTTCGAGAGAGGTACGGAAGCAACAATCTGCATGCAAATGAGTCAGACCTGTGAAATGGATGTGCACGCAGAACTCAATTTCTGCAACAGGACTGGCATCCAAAAGTGGATGAATAACCATAACTTTTTGCCAGAGTTTACAGCCGGTGAATGTGAAGAAGTTATTCTTTATTTAAAGGTGAACTATTTTTTTTCAACTAAAGTCACAAAGTATAGCACTCTTATTGAAATGTTTTGCACTGACAACAATCTATATGTACATGGTTGCTGCGCTGCAATATCTGCACATTTTGGCCCAACACATCAGGTTTTCGGAAGCCTCTAATCAGTCAGTCACCTTCTTTTGATGTACTTGTTAGAGTGTTGGTGTATACTTGTTAGAGTGTTGGTGGGCTGTATACTTGTTAGAGTGTTGGTGGGCTGGGCTTTTTTTTCTAGTAAAATATGGTGCTGGTACCCACCGCCTGGTGTCTTTCCAAGATGATGGTACCACATAATGTCTATTACCGTTTGGTAAGGGGGGGGGGGGGATTAAAGCCTGTAAAAAGTTGCCACCATTTTGTTTTTAAAGCCACAGTTGTGGGTATATTTTCCCCATTGGGGGGGGGGGTGAAAACCAAATGGAGAAAGAACATTCCTATTATAATTATTCTATTAGCCTGTGGTTTCAGTGTGTGTGTCCTATCAAGAACCTTTTTTTTTTTTGCTATTAGTGTTGTTTCACTCTCTAAATTCAGCATTACATTATTCTGTTGTACCATTTTCTTTCGTCTCTTCTATGCCGGCACAAGTTAATGGATGTTTACAGTCTAGATGTCAATATTTCTCCTGCTTACATAAGTTAATAAGCCAAAGGTTAATCACTCTTATATTCATTTCTTGTGTATCAGGGGCCAAGTTTCATGACTTTCATCATTACAACTTCACGGGAAACTACGGCTCAACATTCACTTGGTGGGACAAACTGTTTGGCACAGACAAGCAGTTCAAAGAATATTATGCAAAGATCGATGGCAAGAACAAAAAATTACACTGAACCTAGTTAATTTGTCATCTTCTAGCAAAGTGATCTAATGTCATAAACAACTACAATACAGCTCTTGTGGAGCTTTTAAACTGTAATAGCTCGAGGTGTAACAATGTCACACACTTGCCCTACCCATCTACATGCTCAATTATATACTTTCACACTCTAGTTGATCACCAGTATTTTTTGGGGGGACTGCTTTTACAGATGATGTTGCAGATAATGGAAACATGGTTAAGTTTTAATGTGACTGGAAGCACATATTTCCAGGGTGATTAACATGATTTAGCATTTTTTTTTTTTAAGTTAACCCTGTAAAGGTCCGTAGGGCTACATGTGCACTTCCCAACAATATGGCCAACTTTTTTTACATTGTCATATTTATATTTATTTTCCATAACAATTATTTTTCTTCTCTACTACCTCATTTGAGGTTTAAAATATAATTTCCTTGCATGAGCATAGCACAGTTGTTAAGATATCTCTTTACTTTAAATTCTCTTACTATGTGACCCCTTTTTCTCTGCACCTTAAGATTATGTCTAAACATCATTAAGTTATAAGACATAGGGTACAGTGGACCTGAGGGCTCAGCCATAGAAACTGATTCCAAAAAGGGCTCCACAAATCAGAAAAGTTGAGAACCATGGAATAAACTCTTTCGGTACCAAACAATGTACCATGTGTGATTAGATTTAATCAAGTGCACAAGTCAGAATATATTTATGCTTGTTCATTTTGTGTTGGGACAGGACATAGAAAAACCCAACAGCACACAAGACTCTTACCAGATGTGTGTATCATAGGTACCAGTCAAAATATGATTAATGCTTGTACGGTTTATGTTTATTCAGGACATAGAAAAGACCCAGTGACACATCAGTCTCCTACAACAGTTGTGTGTTTAGCTCCTGACACACCAGTCTCCTACAACAGTTGTGTGTTTAGCTCCTGTGAATGTAGTATACCCATGAGTATGTTGCTGTCATTATTGCCTCACTTGGGCATCATCTATGACCTTCTGGGGCTGAAAGAGTTACAGTATCAGCAGAATGGTACTAAAGGAGTTAAGAGGTGACTGTTGAGAATTATAACTGGCTACCTCATCTCAATTACAACTTAAGCTACAAAATCAAAACAATCATGAACTAGTCAAAAAAGGGCTTGGCATTAGCTGGTTTAGAGCCTGTCCTCCCTTGATTGATAAAAAACGAGTTGGTTTAGAACCTATCCTCAATTAATTGATTAAAGCATGCGTTTGTTGAGAACCTATCCTCAATTAATTGGTAAAAGCATAAGTTTGTTGAGAACCTATCCTCAATTAATTGATAAAAGCATGGGTTTGTTGAGAACCTATCCTCAATTAATTGGTAAAAGCATGAGTTTGTTGAGAACCTATCCTCAATTAATTGATAAAAGCATGAGTTTGTTGAGAACCTATCCTCAATTAATTGATAAAAGCATGAGTTTGTTGAGAACCTATCCTCAATTAATTGATAAAAGCATCAGTTTGTTGAGAACCTATCCTCAATTAATAGATAAAAGCATAAGTTTGTTGAGAACCTATCCTCAATTAATTGATAAAAGCATCAGTTTGTTGAGAACCTATCCTCAATTAATTGATAAAAGCATGAGTTTGTTGAGAACCTATTCTCAATTAATTGATAAAAGCATGAGTTTGTTGAGAACCTATTCTCAATTAATTGATAAAAGCATAAGTTTGTTGAGAACCTATCCTCAATTAATTGATAAAAGCATAAGTTTGTTGAGAACCTATCCTCAATTAATTGATAAAAGCATGCTTTTGTTGAGAACCTATCCTCAATTAATTGATAAAAGCATGAGTTTGTTGAGAACCTATCCTCAATTAATTGATAAAAGCATGAGTTTGTTGAGAACCTATCCTCAATTAATTGATAAAAGCATGAGTTTGTTGAGAACCTATCCTCAATTAATTGATAAAAGCATGAGTTTGTTGAGAACCTATCCTCAATTAATTGATAAAAGCATGAGTTTGTTGAGAACCTATTCTCAATTAATTGATAAAAGCATAAGTTTGTTGAGAACCTATTCTCAATTAATTGATAAAAGCATAAGTTTGTTGAGAACCTATCCTCAATTAATTGATAAAAGCATAAGTTTGTTGAGAACCTATCCTCAATTAATTGATAAAAGCATAAGTTTCTTGATAACCTATTCTCAGTTAATTGATAAAAGCATGCGTTTGTTGAGAACCTATCCTCAATTAATTGATAAAAGCATAAGTTTGTTGAGAACCTATCCTCAGTTAATTGATAAAAGCATAAGTTTGTTGATAACCTATACTCTATAGTTTGATGAAAGCAGAAGACCATCTATAAGCCACTTCTCCTGTAATATTTTACTTTATAATGACACAGTGATGAATAACCATTTTGTGTTTATGTGCAATGTTGCATTAATTCTTTGAGGAAAGGGTCTTGGCACTTTGTGAGAATGAAACATCTAAAATTATGGGATAGTGGTCGGCAACTGTCGCTTGGGGTTATGATTGCAGTTTTGTCTCCGATACACATCTTTGAATGCAACTGGAAGCAGTTTGACAGTGGCTGCTTTGATTTTGGCAATTTTACAAACATCACCTGTTAAAAAGGCAATGGCAAATTACTGAATGTAAAATTTCATTGAGCGTGATGCTCAGCACATCACCTCTGGTAATACTACATACGGCCAACAAATGATGGGGTTGGTGTGTGGTGTCCGGCAACGATTATGCAACTAGTTTTTTTAGAATAGTTTATAGGACGTGCTCAAATATTTCGTACCAGTGTTTGTTAGATCGTGTCACTTGCTGTATCAATGCACAAGGGGCTTACTTTGAATAAAATACAGGTTATATTTTCAACTGTTGATTATTCTAATTTTATGGAATTAGTCTCATTACTTAATTGTCGAACCTTGTATTATTTATAAGATGTTAGGCTCAAAGTGGCAGATCTGTGTTTGCTGTTAATGTTCTTATTTTATTTGTTCATCCATATTATAACATGCATTTATTTTGTTGTTCTGATTGCATTCATTTGTGAAGTGTACACTTATGAAATAATGAACATTGCTTGCAGTCTTTATCAATACATTGCTGTATACTTTTCATGGAGCATCAGTGAGCTGTATAAGCTGCATACACTTTATATGCACTTAATTATATCTCCTCAGCTTATTTTGGTGAAATGTGTTTATAGAGATTTGTTTCTTTTAGATAATTTTGTTGATATTTGTCTTCTTCATCTTTCTTAAACCTTAAAAGTGCTGGATGACACTTTGCATTCAGGTTTACAGCTAGGCTGCGATGTCTACACCTTTCATCTCAAATCATCAGATTTCTTCAAACTCCTGATTAGTCACCTTGTGTGGCATTTTTGTTAAGGGACAGTGGATCTGTTTCATTTTTCCCAGAAAATGGAGTGTCCCGAAACCCACACAGCGATTTGATTGATTTGTGTCTCTTAATGTTAGGGAGTAGTGACTGGCTGAGTGGTTACAGTCCAAGGCTCTCATTCAGCTTTAATGCTTCAGGCTCACAGCCACCCTTTACTGCCAAACCACCTGTAAAGACATGTTTTTTCAATGATGTTTATGTCAGCATTTTGGGTTCTTTTCTTTTATTTCACCCCTTCTGGTGGAAGGGGGCGCTATGAGAAATTGAAGGGAAAGTCCAATGATGTTTGAACACGTCACCTTTTTTTTTTTTTGCTGTGGAAAACTTTTTTTTTAGGGTATTACAGTCTACATATACATAGTGTTGCCCTTTGTCGACTGTTTTTGTTTGTGTTATTGACAGTGTTGCTGTGTGTACCTGTACACTGACATGCATTTATTTATCATGTAAATGGATGTAGATTAATCTATAAAAGCATGGGGCTTGCTGGCCGAATGGTTAAAAACCAAGGACTCTCATGTTGGAGACACAGATTAGAATCCTCTGTAAGGTGAGGGGTTTTCTTCAGGCGGGGGGAGGGGGAGGGAACAAATATATCTTAAACTGCACAGGCCGTGGCTATAGCAGCCCTAAATCCTCTGGCTCAAAGCCCCTCATGGCAAAAGTGGTGGATATGGTAAATACCAGCCGTAATGGCAGTTTTGTTTCCACGTCCCAAGGTGTGGAAATAGACCAGCTGCATAAAGAAAACAAAATCTTGTCCCGTCTACACAATGAAATGCACCTTCTGCTGTCATTGAAAATATGTGGTGAGGCCCCAATCTCTTCCATGGTGTGACACGTACTACTATCCAGAAACTACGAGAAGAGTCTTTTTAAAAAAAAAACCATAAGTAAGTAAAGTAAAGGTCCCTTGTCACGCCTTTAAGCGCATCAGGTATATGAGAAGAGCGCCCATATTTTTTCAGATTATCGCCACTAGGTGGGTAATGTGGTCAGCAATACGCCGGCAATCTCTACTTCCCTATTCTGGCACCCATTTTAGGCTGGGTCGACCTGCGACGCCCCATACCACGATAAAAATCCACGCAGCCAGCAGTGTTTTAAAAACCATCCACCCAAAAAATGGAACCATTGTACTGTACTATGAAATTGTGAAACACATTCACTAACCACTAAGGCACAAAGGCGCATTTTGGCTGTGAAGTACTTTTTAAATGTTTGTGCAATAAAAATAAGCACAATATATTGTGCAAGTAACGATCAAGCCACGTTTTTTTTATTTTTGTGCATTTATTTCAAGCACAAGACCATTTTTCAGGACATGTTATGTGCTAACACAGAAAAGTTAAGGAGCCTATTCTACGCCTTCAGGCCTTTTGGGCATTTCTTCTTCTTTCTTCTTTGAGTTCACCGGCTATAAACTCAGGTGAGAAGTTCTGGTTGTTCAGCCACCTCTGGGCTTTAGACTTGTTCCAGAACCTTAGTGTTGTATGCAGATCTGTTTTACACATTTGATTTTTTATGCAGACTGTTGGTTCCTTGCATCTCAGGCAGATGCACTTGGTTTTAGAAGGAAACCCACCATCAG